AATGTGTCAGGCATGATTTGCCCTTAGTGAAGCCATGTTGGCTGTCACCAATCACCTTCTTATTTTCCATGTGCCTGAGCATAGTCTCCAGGAGGGTCTGCTCCATGATCTTGCCAGGCACAGAGGTGAGACTGACGGGCCTGTAGTTCCCTGGGTCTTCCTTTTTACCCTTCTTAAAAATGAGGGTTATGGTCCCCCTCTTCCAGCCAGTGGGAACTTCGCCAGACTGCCAGGACTTCTCAAATATGATGGCGAGTGGCCTGGCCACTTCATCCGCCACTTCCCTCAAGACCTGCAGATGCATCTCATCAGGTCTCATGGACTTGTGCACCTTAGGGAAGAGCAGAACCAGCAGGGTTTGACAGTGAATGTTCACGAGTGGAAACCTTGGTGTAATGTGCTGTATATTCCTGCACTGCCCTGCATCTACTGGATAGAGATGGGAAACACTTTACATCACTCCAGTGGTGGGATTCAGCCACTGGTCCAAAGGCACTGAATCTGTCTGAGATGCCCTGGGTGGTACCTGTCATGCAACTACTCTGAATGGGGATGGGATTCCTGTATAGGACCTGTGCTGTCCCTGTCAGCTGCATGGATGTGCCCTGGCATCTCACTTAGCACCACGGCCGTGTATTTGGACATTAAATTGAGATTCAGTTGCCCTGAATTAGGTTAGGCAATGAAGGGATGTACATGAGACAACTGCCACTATATTCAAAGGATATGTAGAAAATATAGCTGATGGAGAAGAGAGGCAGAGCTCATCATGTTCACTCAGTTAAGTACCTCTATAGGCTACCCTGAACAAAATGAGTAGAACAGGTTCAGTTTTCCTAAGTGTGGGCATGTCCTGCCATTTCACATGGCCAAAGCAATTCCCCACCAGCCTCCAAGATGATGTCCCCTGATGCTACTCTGTCTCTCAGCATTGACCCATTAGAGCTTGTAGTTACCTGCACATGTCTTGGACTACCTCTGGCACCTCAAATGGCACCAGGTGTTTCATCTGAACAGCTCATTCCTGGCTTCCATCTCCATTAATTGGCATGGGAGCTTATAAAAGGGTATTTTGTGCACATCGGAATTGAGGCAAGAGGAATCCACCTCCTGAGGATTTGTGGTAGGCATGGGAGGGAGCCGAGTCCCCTTCTAATCCTAAGACTACAAACCCAGAATGAGATGCCTCGATTGACTCAACTGAATCACATCCCTCGATCTGGGTAAAAGACATCCCTGCCTGTCACTGTCTGGGTCTCCTTTCTATGAATGGGACAAGGAAAGATGACTTTTAGACCTAACTCTGACTCTTAGAGAGAAATGACAGTGCTGGAAATAAGTGTGTCTCCAGAGATGTGAGAAGGAACACCACTGATTACTTCAGTCTCTTTCAAAGTAGGTTCCCCTGGAGCCCCAGGGACAGCTGGAGGGAGCCCAGAGGGGACAGAGAAAGTGCCACCTTGGGCTGGTCCTCTGCTGCTGAGCTGGGCTGGGCTCCTGGGATGAAGGGGGCTCGTGGCAAGTGGGCAGTGCTGCACAGGGACAGCTCTGCCCAGGAGCAGCTCCCTGGCAAAGTGCAGCAAGGCCGAGGGCACTGCCTGCAGGGACTGAGGGGGGAGGAGATGGTAAGAAGTTAAAGGCTTTCTGGAGTGGGAAGACAACTTAGAGCTCATTGGAGGAGAAACTTTCAGAGCCCTTGACATGGTAAGTCTCTGGCAGCAGGGCAATGCAGATGGAATTGGCACAGGGGTCTTCTAAAGCTGGCACACCTCCTGGATGATAGGATCTGGCAGGATGGCTCTCCCAGTTTCTCCAGGACAGAGAAGAAAATGCTTTAGAGCAGGACATTTTTCAGGGGACTTTTCAAGAGGAAGACAGGGGCTACCTGAAGGGGAAGGCACTTTATGGAGTCTTTGCTTTCAGGTTCTTGCTCTGGAGGGGAGGCAAGTTGCATGGTAATCGAGTTGTCAGGTTTGTACAAGAGACTGAGAAGCCTGGAACATTGCACTGGGAGATCAACAGGTTAGCGACGAACCTCATATGTCCCTTCACACACCTCAGCCTACAGATAACACCAACATTGTTTTTGTGGTCAGCTCAGAGTTTATCATCTGAGCTGTTCTTTAGGACATCCAAGCACCAAGATGATCCTGGGCAGTACCCTGTCACCAGAAGGTGTCAGCAGGGCAGAGGTGAGCACACAGCAGATGGGATGGGGTCTGTGATCAGTCACAGGGAGGAGAGATGGGGGCAGAAACAGCTCCTAGCAGGGACAGCTCCAGGCAGCAGACATGGACAGGCAGTCGGAGGGAACTACTGCCAGAAATGCGGTGGGAGGGGGGATTCAGGCACCTCCCTGCCATCCACTGCAGTGCAGACACCTTCCCCAGAGTAACCCTGTGGTCTCCTCTCCCACCCATCAGAGCCTCTGCCCTCAATGCCATGGGATCAAGGGCATGAGACACCTCCTTGGCTGGTCAGTGGGAGATGGGAAGTAATCTCTAAGTTCTGAAGAAGATACTAGAACATCAAACCTCTTTCAATGAGAGGTGAAAAAATCTGGGAGCATTGAAAATCACCACCCTACAGAGAGCAGCAGTGTCACCTTTCCAGCCTTGTCAAGGCTGCTCTGACCTGCTTCTTAGTGACTGCACACACAGAGAACCCCCTGGGGAATGTCCTGCTACCAGGAGGTGTCTGCAGGATGGAGCTGAGCGCACAACATGTGAGATGAGGTCTCTGGACAGACACAGGAAGGAGACAGACATGGGGACAGAGAAACAGTTCCCAGCAGAGACAGTTCGAGGCAGCAGAGACATGGGCATGGAGGGAGAGGAAAATGCCAACAGAAAAAGCTGGGAGGAGGTTTTGAGCATCTCCCTGTCAGCATTTCAATGAAGATGGTTCCCTCCAAACAAGTCCCTCCTGGTCTCCTCTACATCCATCAGAGCCTCTGTTCTCATGGCCATGAGGTCCATGGTATGAGGTTACCTGCAGCCAAACCTCCAGCAGAGCATACTCCCCTGAGTGTCCATCTGTCCCTCCCTGTCAGAAGTATTGTGGTATTTCTCCTTGTGTCTCCACCTGCCCATGCTGCTGTGGTTCTTGTTTTGAGGCTCTCTGGGGCTGACAGTTTCAGTTGCAGCTCAGGCATTCACTCTGTGGGTCCTGCCAAGCAGAGGTGTCCTTGGGAGGAAGGTGTCCAAGCCCCTTTCTATCCTGTGGGGCTTTGAGCCCCACAGCGTTCACAGGTGGGAAAAAAGCTGGCTCTGCCTCCAAGACACCCCATGTTTAGAACACCCAAAAGGACACTGTTCTCCACTGAAGTTGTTCTGATGTCAGGGCCCAGCAGAGAAGCTGTGGAGGCACTAAAGCCACATCAATGCTGCTGTGCAGCTGCATGTGGGCAGATGCAATGAGCCCTCAGTGTCCTTGGCTGGGAGGGGCATACAGAGACAGGGTGAGGGGGTTGGAGATCTGCACTTTGAAACTGGGTTCCTCTGCTCTCAGCAGTGTCCACTTTCTTTTCAGGGGGACATCTGAGTGCATTTTTCCTCCATCTCAAAGAGGTGCCAGCACAGGGCAGCTGAGAACAGGACTGATGGACAGGTTCTCATCACACTGCACTAAGGAACAGCCTCTTTGCCCCTCAAGACTCACAAGATTTCACTTGGAGTGCAGCAGAAATGCCAAGGATTTCTGCCTTAAAAACACTCCTCAGGTGTGGTGTGGAAACAAGAACAAAGATAACAAACCAAAATCCCCACAGCTCTGCTCTGCAGTTGGGTGGTTTGGGAGCAACAATGCTGGAAAGGTCTTTGATATCACAAGTGGATTTAAATTGAGATCACCCTGTTGTCCTGGGTTTTGCTGGGATAAACTTAATTTACTTCCTAGTAGCTGATATAGTGCTGTGGTTTGGATTTACTATGAGGATAATGTTGATAACACACTGATGTTTTAGTTGTTGCTCATCAGTGCTTACACTGAGCCAAGGACTTTTCAGCTTCTCATGTTCTGCCAGCAAGAAGGCTGGGAGTGCACAACAAGCTGGGAGGGGGCACAGCCAGGACAGCCAACACAAATTGGCCAAAGGGATATTCCATACCATAAGACATCATGCTCGGCATATAAACTGAAGGGACTTGGCTGGGGGCTGGCGATCACTGCGCGGGGACTGGCTGGGCATCAGTCCGCAGGTGGCAAGCAACTGTTTTTCATAGTCATCAGTTGTTTTTCTTGGGTTTTATTTCTCTCTCTTTTTGTTATTTTTCCTTTTCATTACAATTTATTACAGATTCACAGATTTACAGATTGGTAGGGGTTGGAAAGGAGCTCTAGAGATCATCTACTGCAACCCCCCTGCTAGAGCAGGATCACTTAGAGCATGTTGCACAGGAGATCATTATTACTATTATTGGTGGTGGTCTTTTCTTTTCTTTTCTTTTCTTTTCTTTTCTTTTCTTTTCTTTTCTTTTCTTTTCTTTTCTTTTCTTTTCTTTTCTTTTCTTTTCTTTTCTTTTCTCTTCTTTTTTCTTTTCTTTTCTTTTTTTCTTTTCTTTTTTCCTTTTTCAGTTAGGTTTGTTTTGTTTCTTTATTTCAGTTATTAAAATGTTCTTATCTCAACTCATGAGTTTTCTCAGTTTTACCCTTCGGATTCTCTCCCCCATCCCACGGCAGGGCTGGAGTGAGCGAGCAGCTGTGTGGTGTTTAGTTGCCAGCTGGGGTTAAACAATGACACCTGTATTATTATTTACATATTGATATAGGACGGGATTGACTCCTCCAGAACCCACAGCAGAGCCCCCTGTTCCCTATGGCCCCCTCAGCCAGCACCAATGAGAGCTCAAGAAAGGGACCTGCCAAAGCTCTTCATGAAAGGGAAGAGACAGTTTGGAGTGTTTCAATGAGAATTTGAACAGGTTTTCCTCATGAAAGCCTCCCCTAACTTGTCACTGCGTTTTCCTCCATGGACAGATCCCCATGCCCTGAGGCAGCAGATGTCCAACGCCAGTGCCATCACTGAGTTCCTCCTCCTGGCATTCGCAGACACAAGGGAGCTGCAGCTCTTGCACTTCTGGCTCTTCCTGGGCATTTACCTGGTTGCCCTCCTGAGCAACGGCCTCATCATCACCACCATAGCCTGTGACCACCGCCTCCACACCCCGATGTACTTCTTCCTCCTCAACCTCTCCCTCCTCGACCTGGGCTCCATCTCCACCACTCTCCCCAAATCCATGGCCAATTCCCTCTGGGACACCAGGGACATTTCCTATGCAGGATGTGCTGCACAGCTCTTTCTGTTTGTCTTTTTGATGTCCTCAGAGTTTTACCTCCTCACTGTCATGGCCTACGACGGTTTACTTGCCATCTGCCAACCCCTGCACTATGGGACCCTCTTGGACAGCAGAGCTTGTGTCCACATGGCAGCAGCTGCCTGGGGCGCTGGTTTCCTCAATGCCATGCTGCACACTGCCAATACATTTTCACTACCACTCTGCCAAGGCAACGTTCTGGACCAGTTCTTCTGTGAAATCCCCCAGATCCTCAAGCTCTCCTGCTCCAACTCCTATCTAAGGGAAGTTTGGCTTCTTGTGTTTACTCTTTCCATAACTTCAGGATGTTTTGTTTTCATTGTGCTGTCCTACGTGCAGATCTTCAGGGCCGTGCTGAGGATCCCTTCCGAGCAGGGACGGCACAAAGCCTTTTCCATGTGCCTCCCTCACCTGGCTGTGGTCTCCCTGTTTATCAGCACTGCCACGTTTGCCTACCTGAAGCCCCCTTCCATCTCCTCCCCAACTCTGAATCTGGTGGTTACAGTTCTGTACTCAGTGGTATCTCCAGCAATGAACCCCCTCATGTACAGCATGAGGAACCAGGAATTCAAGCATGCCATTAGGAAAGTGCTTTCATGGATGTTTCTCAATAGTGACAAACTTCCCATTGCTCTCCACGAATGACACCCAAGGTATCCCACTGCAGGCCTACACTTTGGGTTTTTTGTCGTTCTTTTTTTTTTCTGGTTCTTTTTGGTTTGTGGTTCTTTTTGTTTCATTTTTCTTTTGCTTTGTTTGGGTTTATTTGATTTGATTTGATTTGATTTGATTTGATTTTACTTATCATTATTGTTATCAAGTTACATGTTGTTATTATTGTCCTGCATAAATGTTTGGATTCATCTTACTTCTACTGAGGAATGAAACTGCTTTGTCTCACTAGAAGCTTCTATAAAAATTGTCTCACACTGCTCAGAGCAGACTGTCATTGCATCTCTGTAGTAAAGTGGGATCACCTTATTACAGTTCCTCAAGATAGGGCTGTTGTTCCAAAGCTGATGTCAACAAGAGAACCCAGGAATTTAACCTCAGAAGGGCCTGTTGGTGCTTGGATTGGGAGAGAAAAGCTCGTGGTCATGTTGGTAGCTTTTAGAAATCATGGGTTGGATTTAGGACTCAGCCATTGGATGTCTGGTAACAGTGGAGAAGGTGAATGGTCACTGAGGTAAATACCCAGGGTTGTCTCACGCGTAACACAGAAGAGGACATCGTCCAGGAGAAGAATCAGGAGCTGCTTGGAGCGACTGGGGGATCTCCAGGGAGAGCATGTGCCTGGAATGGGCAGTGAGTGGAGCCCCACAAAGTGAGAGATCGACAAAGGTGAAGTCACTCAAATGGAAAGTGCAAAATCCTGGTATGTCAAGGAAACAAAAATGTACACGATTGACCAAGGATTGGTTGATGATGTGAAGGTTGGGGGCAACCTTAAGGAAAAAAAATAAATTTGTCCACACACTTTTCACCTTTGGAAAGTCTCTGTTGTTTTGTTTTCTTTCAGTTTAATATACTAGTCTTGGGTAAATTTTGTGTCCTTATTTTGAAAAGAAAAGTGATTTTTCAGAAATGAGGTGGGATGCAGGACACAAATGTCTTCAGATACAGGGACACAGACACCTAGTGCCAGTGGTGATGCCCTGGGACCCCCTGCCCAGCCTCCACCTGCAGCTTCTGAGGGGCTCCGGTCTCCAACTGGTTCTCTGAGGTAGCTGCCTGTCCCAGGCAAACACCTCAGATACACTGGGGCCTCCAACGGTGGCAATCAATGTTTGTGGTCAGACAACCGAGCTCTGCCTGGAAAGATAAAAACCTCTCCTGGTTAAATGACCATGTCTAAAGGCAGACTATCTGGACACATGGCCCTTCCCATGGTTCTCCAGATTTCGTCCCCCCACCCCTTGCACTTTGATCATTCAGATAGATACCTCCAAACTATCTGGTTGCTGCTTTGAGCTTCAGGCAGTTACAAACTCGTCCCATCTCTGAGAAGTCAAGTTAACTCTTGAGCCAGCTCCTTGACTATGTTTATATCTCTCCTTTCCTATTCTTGTACGGATATCCCCAGTAGAAGGTGGACCTCTCATTAGATGCAGCTTGGACTTGGCATACAGCTGAGGAGAGTTTTTTTAAAGCTTATTAAATTGCATCATGTGTAACTTTTGGGTTTTGGCAACGAGGAGAAGTCCTCCCGTGCCTGTGTGCAGTCAGTTGTCTGAGGAAAGCAGGTGGGAATTGGTGCCAAGGAGCTGTAACCTCCAGCTGCAGACTTCAGTGGAGAAGTCTGATGTGAGGACAAAGTGATGCAAGGCCCAGGGGTCCGATCAAAGAAATGGTGGGGCTGGGGAGGTGAGGAGCAAGGGTGTCCCTAGAGTATCTGGCCTGAAGGGACTGCTTTTTCTAACTGCCCATATCTGCTTAGGTGACCTTCAGGATCAATAGCAATTAGAGAATGCTGCTATCACTTCTTCTGTAACCAGAAAAAAAAAAAAAAATTAAAAATGCCTTTAAAATTCAAACCTTCTTTTTTATTAAGTACTCATTGAACTCCTCCTCTTTACCTATCATCCTGAAACCTCTTCAGTTGTAGAAGTCTTGAAGACTTGAAGACAGTTATGGGAAGTGACAAGACACCTGAGGGCTCTTGCCTTGTAATGAGCCCCTTGGTGTATTTGGTGCTGAGTGCATGGATCTGCAATGCTGAGAAGAGATTGCACAAACCGCTCAAGAAGTCAAAGTCAGAAGCAAAAGCTGAAGTTTCTTGGAGTATTAATGGGCCCCACTGAGGGCCATTACCAACACAGCCTCCTCGCGGACTTGTTAGAGCAGAAAATTGGAGGCAGTGATGACAGGCAGGCAAAGGCAAAGGCAAAGTGCTGGCGGCTCTGATGCTGCGTAAAGACTTGGCATATTTTATGAAGCAGGAAGGACAAGTACTGACCCCAGTGCCTGGGAAGGGCGATCCCATCCATCACATGAGGCTCAGGGTTCTTCCTGAGGCAGTGGGATGCAGGGGAGGGGGGCGGGGGGGTGATGCTGAGGGAAGGACAACAGTATGACACCTCTCACCCTCCTTGGGGGATGCATACAGGAAATGAGGCCCCGATGCCATGAGGACAACGTGTATCCTCATAGACCTTGGTGGCAGAGACAATGGCCATAGACAAGGAGACAAAGACCTCCATTCTGTTGGTGTCTTTCAACCTTGGCAACATCCTCAGCCATTTCCACCACAGGCTGTCCTATGCTGCCCCACACCTGTGCCTGCTTCCTTGCACACTGTAGACATCCCACACACTCCTCACCTTGTTCTCACCCTGGCATGGCCCTGCTGATGTATTGCAGTCGTCTCTGGCTGTTCTTGGAAACACAAAGCCATGACCTAATCCAGACTCCCTCTGAGTGACCTGTTACACTACGGGACTACTTTCAGAGTGGCATTTCAGTCTCCTCATGTCCAGTCAGTACCTCCATGTCTGCACTTTCTGATGGTTTTCCTTTCTCATGCTTTTTCCCACTTCCAAAAAAAAAAA